CAATGCCTTTCGTATAGCATGCCAGCAGAAGCATCGGGAAGGAAAGCATGGTGCACATGTCTAAGCTCGGCGGCGAGGTGAGAATTGGTGAGCTCTTGCACGAGAATTTTCTCTGACCCGCCTGGATCGCAGCTTTCACGTTGCTCGGCATATGCCTCAGAATATCAATGAACGCGAACGGAAACACACACCCACACCCGCCCGCCCGCCCGCCCGCCCACCCACCCACCCACCCACACACACACACACACACACACGGACTTCCACGCATCATACAGCCAAGCACTACTGAGCAACATCAAGCAAACAAGATGTTCCATACTTTCAAATGCTGAAGCGTTAAACTACCACGGCTGTCCGTCCTGCAGCTAAGCGACCCAGAGTTGCGTGCAGCCATGTATTCCTACGGGGTGGTGCTTGTCAAGCGTTGCCTTGCAAACCATCCAAGCTACCAGACAGGTTCCTGAGAAAACTGTACTCTGGCAGCAGGTAAGTTTTGCTCCCCAATCGCGCACAGCATGGAGAGAGACCGCACACCTCCCCCGGGCCCGCGACAGCCGTCCTTTGCAGCTTGCAACTGCTTGAAGTCCTCTCCATCGCCGCCCTTGTCCGGATGTCTCTCCAAGGCGGTGCGCCTATATTGCCTTGGGTCGCACAGCTGTCAAGACGTGAGCATAACTCAAAGGCCGCGAAGCGACATTGCACCAATTCATCGTGCAGCGACCCCACATTGCACTACCGCTTGCCGCTTGCCCCAGCAGTCCCGCTGAGGCCGCCGAGTTGCTGGCGAATGAGATCCAATCCATCATCCGGGGAAACACCCAGCACATCGCAGCCTCGCGACTTGCGCTGGCAAATCGCAGCAACAACCTGCAAAACCTAAAAAATTCAAGCACATTCGAAGGGATGCTCGCCGGCCCAGGGGCACTGCAAGGTCTGTCGACCGGCTCTCTTGCCTCTGCTCTTGCTCGGAGAAGTGTGTGCCGCATCCTTGGACAGCAGGTTGCATCCGCAAACCTAGACTGCTTATACATGCTGCAGGGATGCCCAAACAGGATGGGCAGCTAGGGAAACATCCTGATCCATCATCACCAGCGCTAACAAAACTTGAGAACGTGAGGAATGGCATGCACGACAATGTTGAATACATTCCCATGTCTGGCAAACCCCTTTCCCGCGTCCGGCGGGTGGGAGGGGGGGGGACCCTTTTCAATCTTTTCATGCCAAAGGGCCTCCACGGGGCCCCCCAAATAATTGACATATCACAGCGGTCGGGAAGTTGCTGCCCCTACACTTGCTAAAGCAAGAAAGAACTCCAGGTTAGCGCTACCTTTCGTGACGTATCCGAGCAGCTGGAAGCTCTGAAAGAGCATGCGGAGAAAATGCAGTAGCCTCGCTGAGTGGATGGTTCTCTGTCGTCTCCGGTGCCATATCCCCAGTCCTTGGAGCACTTGGAAGTTCGATTGCAACCCCTCTGCCCACAGGCGGAGCTGGGGTGTGAGGTGGGAAAAATCACGGACAACCACGCCCAAGCCGATTACTGAACCAGAACCGTCTTTTGTCTAGCAGGAACCTTCCGAAATCCTGGACACTAAATCAGGCCAAACCTCCCCCAAAGAGAGCCCAAAATGAAGAGGTGCTCTGAAAAGGTTCCTGACATTCTGTACGTACCTTGGGCGTGGGAGGATCTGCCAAGCAAGATTCGTCGCCAGCTTCAAGGCCAAGTCGGGCTTGCTTGGCGGTGCCTCGCTATTGCAAACTATGCCGATACTCATTAGGGTGCATCCCCTTCGGTCATCTCCACAGAAAAGGGGTACCCTCTAAAAAAGACACACACACAGTAGGCTTGCCTGTGACAATGCAAGCGGCTCAAGTGTTTCGATCGAGAACCAGCCTCGATCGGAATGCTGGACCGAGAGCTGGCGATTGAGCGAGAGCGCAGCTGTTCGTTGATCTCCTGGATCTGTTGCCTTGCAACGCAACGGCTGGATAAAAGCCGCAAGCCGGAAAAAAACCAACTGTCTTTCTTTGAACTGGCCACGTTGCTGAGGGCGATGCACGACTAATGAAGCACATTATCCTAGTGCCTCTTCTCATGGATGAACAAGTCACTTCAGTGTTTTCAATCTGAGCGGCCCCTCTCGCGCGTGCAAAACGGCCGAACCAGCGACCACCCGGGAACCCGGTAGCAACCACCCCCAATGGCTACGACTTGCCAGGGAGCTCTTTCGCCCGCAGCGTGTGCTCCTCCTGGGGGGTTTAAAGGCCATGAGGCCTGGAAGGGTTGCATCAGTTGCCATGGAATTTTGATTGGGGTGCGTCGATGTTCAGGGGACCCCCATAAGATTGGTTGCTCAAGGTGTCCCCCCCCCAAAAAAAAAGAATAGAAGCTCAGGTGATATCCCCAACAGCATGCGGTGCATTTTTTTAGTGCTCGCACCACCCCGCAGCCCTCGCAGAACCTCGTGGAACTTTCGCGGAACCCTGGTGGAACTCTGGTGGAACCTTCCCTCAGGGCCGCCCTGGACCCCGAAGCCTACCTGGGCTGAGACCCCAAAGCTTTCAGCTGGGGAAAAAAACCGAAGAAAGGGGTGCCCTCAAAAGGAAACGCCTAACCAAAGAGCTTCATTTCAAGACATGGATGATGGATGTCAGGTCCTGCCGCTTCTGTTCCCGGTGTAGGTCGGCTTTTGTCTGCTGCTCCTGTAGCAGAAAGCATCAATTGTGAGATGCGAGAGGCCCGGGAAGCGTGTGATGAAGATGTCCTGACGCTGCTGCTGCCGCCTTCTCCCCTCCAGTTCTGTCACTTCCTGCAGTTCTTGTTGCCACTGCCTGCGGGCAGAACGAAAAACCGCAACCGCTCGCCGTCGAAAAAACAAAAAACACTTTGCATGCCAATGCTCCCAGACTTGAATGTCGCTCGGTGGATGCCCTAAATATGGAAAAAGGGAACAAGGAAATTTATTGATTTACCGTAATTTAGCATGGTTGTGTGGTCGATAATGGTTGGTTTAAATATTGCGTTGGCATCCGTAGTTGGCATCCAATGCACCATGCGCGAGATACGCCGCTGCTGGCGCCTCTGCTGGCGTCGCTTCTCATCTACCAAGCGCTGCTCTTGGCGCACCAATGCCAGGCTCTTGCCTTGCGAACGTAGAGGGCCCATCAACCACAAGTGCTTTGGTGGGTTGGTGCTTTAGTGCTTTGGTGGTTTCCCATTTACACTCTACAAGAACCAGGGGGTTAACTTCCCAAACCACCAATCCAAACCAGCAAGGGGAACCTGAGTCACAATGAAAACAAGGAATGAAGATCGTGGGGACCCAGAGTCATGTAAATAATTGTCCCAAGGCACCCGTTTCTGGCTGTCCAACTGCCCGGGTTTGGAGGAAGTGACTCAAGTGCGCTACATCATTGCGAATAAAGCCGAGTGGCAGTCGTGACAAGGTCTGTCTGGCAAACCTCAGGTCCGCTTTGGCACGGCTCGCTTATGCGGAATCTATTTTTGGCAAGCCTTCACTAAGACGACCGTAAGCATCACGTTTTACCTCGATGCCAAAAGTCAAAACTGCCTGGCTGTCAACTCCCTATGGCCCCAGCCCTGACGCCCCCAACCAACTAAAGGTCCAATCCAAAAGTACCCACAATGCACAGGGGTGGACCCACATGATCTGCAAGCAGGGTGGACCCACAATGCACAACGCGGGCTCAGCTCAAGGTTGCTGTTGCTCTCTATCTCTCCCTCTCTCCTTCTACCAAGGCTGCCTCCTGACAACGTGGGGGAAAATAATGCAAGGCAGGCAGTCATGGGGTACGTGACATTTGCTCAGATCCCGAGTGGATTGATTGATTGATTGGCCAACAACAAGTAACCATGAAGTGAGCTGCCAAGAACTTCAGCCCAAGGTGCAAGTGCATCCATGACTGTTGCGCTTTGATCGGGGTGCGCGAGTGCCAGGTGAGACCAGCATGTAGTACATCTGGTCATTGGCCACCTTTGCCACCTTCCGGAGGCTCGGATAGGTTGAGGATCAGTCCCAGGTGGCTTTACGGAGTTGGCTGAGGAAAGGGGGGGATTCTTCAGTTTGACTGTTGCGTGCGCGTGTTGGGCTTGGAAAGCATCCACCAGACACAAGGTGAAAAGGCCGCCGCAAAAGCCGAAGCCATGCCACAAAGCTCACATCCTTTTTGAACGAAATACATTGCCCTTTAATGGAATCCGATGAAACGGTCCAATTGTCGTCTCTGCGAGTGTAGGTGTGCATCTATGACGACTAGTTGGAAATGATGCAACCCAGAATTTGACTTGTTGGACCAATGCCTTGTTTCGCTTTCTGCGCCTTCGATTGAGAAGGCAGCGCGTACTGATGTCCAAGCTCAGGATGAACACCCACCAGCGCCAGAGCATCAGCCGCCGCATGCCTCAAGGAATCCATGTGCCAAGCAGAATGACCCCAACGGTTCGGATCAAGTTCGGATTGCCAAGATGCTTCCGTGGAGCTTTCTCACGCGCGTCATCTCGCAAGTCTACATACCTTGCCAAAGCTTACAACCCCTGTTCCTCTTGTGGTAACAGAAGCTGAAACAAACCCTCAAGCAAAGGGATGCGAGGCCACAGCGCTTTGCCAGTTGCAAGGTTCAATTGGCGGCAAGGAGTCACGTCGAAGTCAGTCCAAGCAGCAGGCGCTGCTGCAGTTGCACCCGCGGAGAGGGACTGATCGCTGAGCAGGTCGTGGCACGTCTCCGAGGCGGGCTTTGGAGTGCGACCTGTCCGGGTACTGAGTTGCGGCGGCGGCCATCATGGCTAGGCTCGCGAGGCATGTTTGCTTGAGTCCTGAAGCTGAAATGACTCCGTAGACAAACCAAAGCCGACGTCCCTGTTGATCTGCTACCATTTACTCCTCTTGAGTGGCTTTCAAGACGAAAGACGATGCTCCAACCTCAGCTCCCGCAAAAGCTGCTCCAGCTTGCGATTCCACGACTCCACCCGGGCTCTAGTCCTTGTTGACCTTCTCCCAGTCCTCACCGCCTGAAGCGGGAGCTGGTGGCCGGTGAACCAGCCAGTTACCGCTGACAGCGCGGTTTTCACACCGAGGCAAATGCAATCCACACGGCCAGCCAGGTTGTTGACATCGGCCACCTGCCATGTCTGTCACTTTGCCGCTGCGTCTCGACCGCCAGTTTAATTATTCAGTCGTTTGGCAGTGCCTGCCTAGTTTTTAGACGTTGCTCAAACCTACAAAACGCCCTAACTACCCTGTCACGCCAAAGGCCAAGTCGGCAAGTTGCGGCCTACCCAACTTCCGCAACGTCAGGCTCCATGTTAATTGGTGGGAGGGTCCCGTATGCGCGGCTCTTAGTATCCAATCAACCTCACAGTCAGGCCTCCTGCTTCGTCGCACCATACACCGCGCAATGGCCTCTGCCAAACCATTATTTCGTGGGCCGACAACATCTTTTGGCAAACGCGTGAAGGGGGCTTGTGGGTGGTTCCCCTCCCACCGATTGCGTAGAGCCTGACGTTTCGGGGTAGTGGCAAACATGTTTTCTTTTTTTTAAGGGACCCCCTGTCAGGTTCTATGTTAATTGATGGGACTGTTTCCTTTAGCCTCCTTTACCTTCCTGTATTGCCCCCGCCCCCACTAATGGCAGAATCTCGGCATCTGAGCGCCAGACAAATTCCCAAGGAGGCATAGTACAGGTAGTATCCGGCACCATCATACTTCCTATCACATGCATTTTTGCGTGGATGAAACAAGCCTCTGCAAAACGCGGACGTCACTTGGCCTGCAGTGGAAGCGGCACTCATTTGAAGACTTCAGACTTCGGACGAACCTTGGAGCCACATTTTCGGAGCTTTGCAGCTAGTGGCATCCATGACCTCTCGGAAAGGCTTGAGATGCTGGCGTGTCAGACATGGCAGGTGTCCAAAGCACACCAGGCCTGAATGCAAGCAAGACAAACTTGTAGAGTCGTGAGCACCGGAAGCACCAGATTTACTGCTAACAGAAATCAAGTCCCAGTCAACCAAGAAGCTATGCAGAAATGCAGGCCCAAAGACTCTCGCTCGAGCTTGATTTGCCGAGCTGTGCCCAAACGTTGAAGGTGAACTTATGTTTTGTTGCGTGCCCTTGATTGTCTTCACGCATCCGCAGCCACGCTCTGGCCTGGCGCAGTCATCCTTGTACATCTGCAATTTCTGCACAGTTTTGCCTTGGTTGGCCGTGCTTGTGTGCAGTGGTGTGCGAGGAGGTGAATCTTGGCCAAACATGACCAGCAGTTGGCTGGTTGCCACGAACAAAACCTCCCCCCAGCCCGCACTAAGCACTGGACTGGCATGCTCAAAGCGCAGCAGACTCTTCCTCAGCACTGCTCTCTCAGTTTGTGAAACTGGGGCCTGCAGCCGAGCCACAGTCGCTGAATTTGCTTGGGCTCAGCTGCGCTCGTGGCGTCCTGGGATGCCAAGAGCGCAAGAATCAAAATGTCCACAGGGCCCTCGGTGCAACAACCGCTTCATCACGCCAGTACATGTTGCATCCTCTTTTTGTTAACTGCAAAATCATTGATGGTAGCCCTGGGGGCCAAAGCCTTCAACGGCGGCTAAACACACTGCTCTCTGCAAATGTTTGCCCACTGCCAACACGGTCTGCAACAGGAAAAGGAACCCGCAGCATATCGTAAAAATTGACTCGTGCAGGCATTGCGTGTTCCATTGTCCTCCTCATCATCATCTGCTATCTTCCCTGATGCAAACGCGATTTTCGCCACAGCGGGTTCTTTGCTCAGCTCTTGGCTGAACAATAACTTAATTTGTTCGGCGAACATGCACGGGAAACGCAGTAAGCGCCCGGCGTTTGTCGGACTTGGATTTTGGTGACTCCTGAAGTGAGAAATCAGCAGTTGTTGCAACATGTGAATGCTTTCAGGCCTTGTCCTCATCCTCATCTTCAGGATTCACCTTGGGGTTGTACGGAACCTCAGCTTGGATTGAGCCCACGGGCACGAACAGTGGTGCATCCGCATCCGCTTTCGTCAATTGATATGGCGTGCGCGGGCTCAAATGGGTGTCGCGCTTTTCAGGCTGGGCACCCAAAATGTCTTCGGTGTTCCTTTTGGTTTCCCCTGAACCCCAACCAAACACCGGGTACCAACTCCAAAGAAGGAACCACACCCGAATCTTCAGGCGGCAACCTCTCCGCGCAAAGCCTGTGCCCCTGGCGAAGTGCCCCTCCGGCTCGCCTTCGTCACCTATGGTCAAGTGCAGTCTGGAGTAACTCAGTTGCCGCTTAGGGACCCAGAAATCGAAGGTGATCACCTGTCGGGTTGCCATGACGAAAAATCCGAGCCCAACATTGGGAACACCAATTTGGCTGGTACTCCATAGACCTCCAGCACCTGTTTCGCCTAGGCTTCCCGGAACAAACATCAGGCTTTTGTGTGGAAAGGGGCCCGGTGATTTGGGAACCAGCTCCTTTTGATTTGCCATTCGGCAAATGGCACCCAAGGTCCAAACCAAACCAAACCAAACCATGTAGGGGACGAGGTGATACTGATATTTCTGAGCATGACGAATCTTGTATGCGTATCGCCGCATACTGTTAGATGCACATGATTCATGAGATCGTCACAAAGTGAACAACACAACGTTTTGCCGGTTTCCGACTGGGGTGTAGTGATGTATTGCGACCTGGGGATGTTGACAGTATGTGTCGTCCATAGGGCCAGAACGCATGCAGGCATACATGCGTATTCCAGCACCAGTATGTTGTTCCTCTTGTCTAGGCTGTTCAAAAACATGGAGTGTTGGCTAATCCTAATCCATGACCCCTATTGTAAAACCACTACAAAGAGTACCCCTTGCGTAATCCAAGGCAAGGATTCAGGATTGCCTTTGAACAGCCCAGCTTGTTGGTTGATCTATCTATTCCTTCATTCACCTATTCTTAAACAATGGGTTGCAAGGCTAGAAGGTTGCCTTCATTGAAGTTTCGCTAGGCGGGCGATGCTCGACACAACAGCGAGTCATGTGCAAAGAAGATCCTGAGGCCATGATTCTGTTCAAGCATCTTGTAGAGTGATGTATTCCTGTCCTACAAAAACAGCGGTTGTACAGCATTTGGGGTGTCTTTTAGGGGAACCACCCCAAAATGATGGCTTTCCTGGTGGTTCCCTGTTAAACCAACAAAGGGGTGCAGGCCCATTTATGGCAACTGGCAAGCTGGGCGCTTGGCAGGGTCGTGGGCACCCTGGCTGCCCGTGCGTGTAGAGAACAAGCGCGAAGTCCTCCGGTCGTCTTCCGCTTATGAAACCCTTGGCTCGTTTTGCCATGAAACCCAAGGGCCCCTTTTAAAGGGCAATCGCCGTCCCCGAAACGTCAGGTTCCATGGCAATGTGGACGGGAGGGTAATAGCGTCTAATAGCATCTAATATAAATGCAACAAGATGCCGCTTGCAAACATGTTCCAAGCATGTGCTAACTTGGCCAGCCTTCAAGGGCAAGCCCGTTCTGAGCTCCGGGTACCACTCAGGATTCTCCACCTCAGCATCATCGGGGCTGTAGCCTGCCTAAACTCCTCCTCCAATCATGGAAGCTGACGATCATCGAGTCGAAGACTAGGGGAAACCTTGTGTCCACCTCTATCTTGTTGCAAAAAGGGTAAGAGTGCATGTACGACTGGAATTTTTGAGATGTTGAATGGCAACTGGAGCTCTGTTTCCCTTTTCAAGTTCATCAGTGAGCCGGCGGCTATGCCGTGGTATGCAGCCCACATCACGTCTTGCATGCACCTGAGCCAGTATACATCACTGAACCTGTCTTATCAGCTATGATGCCATGACGGAATCGCCATCTGATGTGAAGCGTCTCGCTCAGCTTCGTGTTTGCTCTGCCCAGTCCGAAAATTCACCCTCAGGCAACATTTGTTGCGGTGCAAAGCTGTGACACGGGCAGTGCTGAAAATGCACTAAAGATCCCTATTTGAGGCTCACAAAGCCAGTGCCAAGATCAAGATATGTTTTATTGAGTTGAGGATAACTAACGACCAGCCAGCTGGCATGGCCTTTCTATTTCTGGCTGCCTGCTACGCAGGGTTTTCGGCCATCGGAAATTGGCTGGCGGCAGCACGGTCTTCAGTCTGCATCGTTCTCGCTTGGTGGCGGCAAGCTCTAACTATGCAAAGGCAAGCTTGTCCTCCAGTGATTGCATGGACTCATACAACCTCTCCTTGGCCACATTTCATGCCCATGCTCCACATCTGCAAGCTATGCAACAACCAGAGCCACACGGCAACTCTATGCGGCCCAGATTCCACTTCAGCATTGGCAGCTTCAAAAGTGGCCAGGGTGTCCTGTTGAAATATAGCATGCACATCACACATCCTTGCAACACTTGGATGGAAAATGATGGGGGTTTCCGACATCTTGCAAACTTGCAAACTATCTACTTGGTGCAGTGGACACTGCTAGCAGTAGCGCCGAGAACTGCCAATCACCCTCTGGTCAAACATTTGGCTCCTCGTTGTACTCTGCGCTCATTGCCTCGGAAGCCTTGGGACAGCATGAAGCAGCACACACTGTAAGAACCTTTGCCCACTCGCCTGTTCCAGGGCTGCCTCCGCTTGCTCGATTTTCCTCATGACCTAGAAGAAAGGAAGTCCAAAGCGAAGGCAACAAAACAGCAAAGTACCTGAGGCCACGACGGAGGAAATCTTTCTAGACAGATTCGCCTTGGACACCGAGTTGCCAGGTTCTTGGCTAGCATGCTTGCCATCGGACTCAACGTGACAACGGGGCAAAAAAGCTAAGGGAAGCGCCCTCTCTCGATGGCCCAGGCTAGGGGCAGCCACAACTGCAAGGGAGGCAAGCTTTGCCAAGGGCATAGCTTGCATCTTCCGGAAATAGCACTTGGCACACCACGCGTCTAAAACAACTCAGCTTAACTCAGCCAGATGGAGCCGCAGGATAAAACCCAAATCAAGGGAAGACGCGCCGTGACACCAAAATCAAAAAAACAAACAAGCACCCAGAGCCTTCCCACGTTCACGCAATGATCCAGCCTCATAACAACCAGGGCCATGCTCCCTGTACTTCTCGTCAAGAGGTAAGAGAGGTACGCGCCCAGGAGACGACGCCCGCGTGCAACTTGCTTTTGCAACAAAAAAACGCGACATGTTCGCAACGAGCCCTCGCGCGGCCGTCGCGTGCGTTCCAGCGCGCCGCCCGCGTCTCTGCTGGGTCCGCGTCGGCCGCGCCTCTGCTGGTCGCGCGTCGGCCGCGCCTCTGCGGCCGCACCGCTGGCAGTCGCACGTTTTCTGCGCCGCTGCGCGCACATCAGCCGAGCCGCTGCGCTTGCGCCGCGCCCCGGCCCAAGCGCCGCGCGCAGAAGTACGGAAGCAGCCCAAAGTGCCAAGAAAAAAACTGTTTGGACCTTCGACGCCACCCATTTTGGCCGCAGCGACTGCGCGAGAACAGGGATCTTGTGTGATCCAAACCTGGGGCCTGAAACGACAAAAAAAAATGGTTGCTTTGTCTCACGGCCGTTCTTGACTCACTTCGCCCAAAACTGGCCGGACCAGGGTGGCTGACAGGAAAGCAGCAGAATCTGCATGGCAGGGATGTACTCACAGCCGGTAAAATGACTTGCAGCCCAGCCTAAGCAAAAATAGTAAGTCCATATGACAAATTAAGAGCACAACAAAAGAAGCGGGAAACCTCGGTTTGTCGCCATGTGTATGCCAATGTTCATGACGCGCATAGGTTCCTTCGGTGTCTGGACCAAACTTTCTTCAACACGCTAAAACTGTGAATCGAAAAGGATCATATTTGGTAAAAGGCCCATGCAAAGTGTCTTCTTCAATGCTCGTGCAAGAGTCATGCCAACGTTGCACTGAAATAGTGAACCGCGGGGCCCGTACCCAAAACGGGCAAAAATACTGTTGTCCCAAAACACGCGCCTTAGAAAACACGTGTTGGCCATGGTCCAAGCCTCATGCCCCTTGTCTCGAAACAGAAGCTGCAGCGCCGTCTCACGTTAAACGAACCAAAATTGGGAGGGTTTGGGCAAAGATCCGGCGCGCAGAGTCTGCCTGGCGGCGCCGGCGTGGACTCGATGACATGGGCCGCGGCACTCACCAGCGCAGCATCCGCTGCACCGAGCTTACGCCTCACTGAAACCCGGCCAGCCTGCGGTGGCTCAACATGGCGCCAGAGTGTCCTTTTGGTTTCCCTTTGAAACACCAACAATAAGGGATACTGACTAAAAAACAGACGCCCGAATTGCACTGACAAGCTCCGCTGGCACGACCACCCCATCTTGCAATTCGGTTCCTGGTCCCTGCAACAATCAATCTTGCGCTGCTTCTGATCTGGAATGGACGTTGGGCCAATTTTGGCCAAAGATGGCCTGGACAAGTCTAGAGCACGCACGGCATAGCCCCATCAACCACCACTACTGCAACCACAACCCGCCAAACCACCAACCCAACCACCACCAACCGACCAACCAACCGACCAACCAACCAGCCACCCACCCAACCAAGCACCAAGCAGCCAAATAAACAAACGAACACCAGAAGAAAACAAGGAAAGGCAAGCGCATGTCAGCAAAGGAAAGCAACAGGCAGGCAAGCAGGAAGCAGGACGGAATGGAGCACCCAGCAACAAACACAATACAAAATCCAAGATCAGTAGCCGGGCGTTTATTTGTTGTGGACACTGGTGGCATTTGCCGCTTGATGCCAAGCTGCTGAAAGCTGCCCTCCTCTACCTGACCAAGAGCCGAGCCTCTGCAACCCATGCTGTGCACACGGCACGATGGAAAAGCACGAGCCGCAGAATGTTTCCGCGAAGGGAAGCCACCGATTCCGGGAACTCTGACTTGTCACCCGCAGAAAGCGTCAAAACAGTGACCCCAGAAGCCATGACACTCAAAGCGTTTTCGGCCCAAGCCACGCTCAACTGCCCTGGTTCGCCGACATGTCCACGCTTGATGCTGATCTTGTCGGTCACCTGCAAGGCCTCCAGAAAGGCTTGGTCGTGGGATGCCACCAGGACCTGGGACGCAGGCGTCGAGAGCGGCAAAAGCCATCGCTGATTGCTGCCTGGGCGCTACGCCACCGTGTTCGCGGAGGCCACGGCACAGGGAGGCAACAGCAGCACCATCCAAATGATTCGTGGGCTCGTCCTCTGGCGAAATCATGGGCAAACAAGAGTGCGGCGGAAACCAAAGTTTTGCAATCCCGTCCAGCAACAGAACATCAGCAGGCCGGGTAGCAAAAACTGCCAAAGCGACACGAGCTTTCCTCAGATGAAATATGGGCAGTTTTGTACACTCAGCTGCTGTAAGCATGCTTGCTCTTCAAACAAGCCGCTCGCCGCCACTGAGCGTGCCAATCTTTGCGTTGTGGCACGCTCCTCTTAGCCCAAGCGCACCCAACCTCAGCACCAATACTTCAGGACACTTTTGGGCAACGCAGAGAGCCGCCCAAGACTGAGACCATGTGCCTGAGGGCCCCGCGCCATTCGTGCCCCCTCCTTATCAAGCATAACTGGCGCGTCGCCTGAAAGAACGTGCTCCACGGGGGTCATGTCTGCCGGGAGATCCTGCAAAGCCATGAGCATGTGCATGATGCCATGCGGCTGTGGGTGTCCCCCAAAATCAGGGGGTTTCCTTTTGGCTTCCCCTCTGCAACCACAAAAGGGGCCGACAGACACACGAGTGGGTGGAAGGGAAGAAGGGCATTTCAGGGCCAATCTACGCCGCTTGGCATCCCAACGCCTGAGCCAGGTCTTGCGTGAAGAAGGCCACTCGGGCACGCCGAAGGTTGCCCACGCCCAAAATCCGCGCCCCAGCACGCACCTGCGCGGAACTATGGGCCTTCCGGACGGTGTGCGCAGCCAAGCTTTCAGGCAACCCTTGGTGGTTTGGATTGGCGGCTTGGATTTGGTTTTGAACCCCTGGCTTTTGTAGAGGGTTCATGGGGAACCCTTTCTTAACCACCGAACCACCGCAATCCAAACCACCAATTGGAGGGAAGCTCAAACTTGTGCCATACATGACCTTTTGGAAAAATGCGGCGGCCCTTAAAATCGATTTTCAACCAAACCTAAAAAGGACACCTACTGTGGATGGTTGCGAGATCCATTTCGTACCTCTTTGACAACCATGGTTGAAACCATTCTTGGTATTTACCTGGGAATCCAATCAGAAACCAGGGTAACGGTGGCGCGAAGCGGATTTCGCTTGGGCCAGGGTTCCCCTTTTGACCCCAAGACTTAAACCCAGTTCCCTGGAGTAGTGACCAAAAAGTGGAACCCTGGCTTGAGCCTTTGATCCTATTCTGGGCGGCCCGTTTTCAGATCCCCCGCTAAAAGTTTAACTTTTAGTGGGTTAAATGGAAACTACCACTAAACACTAAAAAGCCAAAAGGCTAAGGGGGCTGGGAGCCACCAAGTATTGACAAAGCCGACGAGACGTGCCTCCAGCTGCCCGGCCAGCGTCTTGAGCAGCGTCGTCTTGCCGCAGCCGTTGGGCCCCAGAAGCGCCACACGCTGGCCCACGCTGAGCACCAGCTCCTCCGCGTCCGCAAGAGCATCGCGACAAAGCGACCCCCGGCCCGGGCCGGGCAAAACTTGCGTTCGGTGCAAAGAACGAGAAATGGAATAACCCCAAGAAAAACCATTCAACTGGTAGTTTCCTAGGAGACCAATGCCCGGGTTCGTTCCATTTCTCATTCCCTTCCGATCTCGCACCAGCAAGAAAAGGCTTGCGGCTCGTTTCTTTCTATGCC